ATGGCGCCACCCAGTGACAGAAACATCTGCAGCGTTGCCAGGCCAACAAGGATGTAACAACAGGATGCTGGCCGAGGACCGCAGGAGGTGTTGAGCTCACACACGTTTTGGAAAGAGATGTGTTCTCTCACACAGACACACACACACACACACACACACTCTGTACACATATGTTTGCCCATGCATGTCATCGCTGCGGTAGGGCAGAATGACTGTGTCCGCAAAGACTTAGCCAGACCCAACTTTCCAAACAGTATTGGAATCACCCCACTGACTGCTAATGCTAACACACACATTATTGGCACACACACACACACACACACACACACACACGAAGCGTGGAACTGATGACAAGCGGGGTGAAATAGAAAAGAGGGATGTGCGGTGAAGACGGAGAGGACAGGAGTTCAGATTTTCCTCAGCACGAGTTTGTTAAATCATCGGTTACGTAATGAGGCCCATCGCCATAGTTACCACAGCGGGCAACACGGTCTCCATGACATCACCGTCAATTATCTCTTCAGGACTCACTGTGGCTGTGACGTCATTATCCAGTCCAGTTCTGTAGTGACAGCTAAAAACGAGTGTTAGCTGCCTGTTAGCTTAGATCAGCACAAAGACGGGAACAACAGTGTGTCCGAACCGAACCAATGACAGCGGTGCCGGGACCATAATTCTTTTGACAATTTTTACCCTTTTAAGCAAGGAGTTTCAGTTTCAGTTTTCTTAGCGTTAAGCCAACTACATGTTTCCACTGAGTACCTCACTAGCACTGCGGTATGCAGGATTTTAGAAATACAAAAAAACTGAATTGCCTTGGGGAGCGTTGGGGCATCAAAGCATCAACATAAAGTTATTTTAGGCAATTATTTCACAACCTTTATCGTCTACCAATTGGAAAAGTGTCCCACCTTAGCTCAACCAGAGGTGGCCGTACTCAACGAGGGTACAAAGTGTGTTATCTGTTTTGACTCTATTCTGACCCGTTGTAGTAAACTGATGATATCTCTGCACAGAAACATTCCTGCTAAATGCTTCTGTAGAGTAAACTGTGGCCCTCCATCACACAAACCCACACATTCAGCACATAGCGCAGTGATACTTCCTACTTTCTCTCTCAGGAGTGTACATGCATGGTCAACAAGCAAACAAACACACACACACACTTCACCCCCTATGCAGACAAACACAGCCCATGTCTGGTACCCTTGTTATTATGGATGTTCACATGTTGAACCACTCAGACAACTATTTCTGTGTGTGTGTGTGTGTGTGTGTGTGTGTGTGTGTGTGTGGGAGTGTGTTGTTTCTGCAGCCGCTCAGTGTTTTCCTGCTGGCGGTGGAAGTGATTTGGAAAGAATGCAGTGAAAAGGGGAGGGGCGTCGCGGCCGTTAAACCAGCAGCGGTTGGGTCCCAAATGAAAGCGCGGCGCTACACGAGGGCGGATGCTAATTGCAAGAGCCTCCCGGCGTGGTGTCACAAAAACACAACATTCAAATCATTACCCGCTACAGTACATAACCACCATAACAGTGAAGGAAATGACACCTTTTAACCCAGAATACATATTTGCTTTGTGAGCAGATGTAAATATCTCTGCTAGAGTCTCAGCGGAGGCG